TGGGTTGGGGCAGCAAGGGTCAGGAGCCAGAGATCAGGCCATGGGATGCAAAGCACCAGGGGAAGAGAAGAGGTGGCAAGGTCAGTGAGCTTGGCTCCCTGAGTATGCAAATGTGCACTGGGGTCACTGAAGGTCAGGTCAAAGAGGGGTCAAATGTCAAGAGGTCAAAGGGATCCAAGGTCACTGACCTGCCCGTAGCAATATGACCTGGTCATCCAGAGGCAAGGAGGAAAAGTGTGGGATCCTCTTCGCCCACTCAACAAGCGTGAATAGCTGTTTGTCAGCTGCCTGACAGATGTTAGTCACAGGGTCATTTGGCTGCAGGGGATGGGGGGTAAGAGTTATGGGAGGTCTGGAGGTACACTGGGAGCCCCCCCTCGTAAGAGGTTTTTGACACCCCCTCCTATAACATAGTCTCTCTTCAAGCCCCATCTGAACCAATCCCTATAAATCAGACTTTTCTTCTGGCATTTGTGAGAACGTTTATCTGGGGCTAGCCTGGGGTTCTGCCAACCAGTGGGTTGTCCTGGGGGTGGGGATAGAAGAAAACTATCACACCCACCTCAGATGTTTGAGAGACCTTGTTTGGCAGCACTTCCAGTGCCAGAGTGTTAGGCGGGTTGTGAGGGGAAGGAAGGGGAGGGAAGACAGAACAGACCTAGGCTCCTGCCACCCACCCCTCATCAGGAAGGAGAGTGGACTGGCCCCATCACTCACGCTGCTGCCGCTACCCCCGGTTCCCCCGGGACCCTCAACGCCCTGGTCACTCTTCTGCTCCACAGCAAGTTCTGCCTCCAGGATCCTGTCCACGGGCATCTCCTCGGGGGCTCCCCCAGCCCCCTCCCCATCCCCGTCCTTGTCCTTCCCCCGCTGACGCTCCTCCTGTACCGCTGGGGGAAAAGAGGGGAGGAGAAAAAGTGGCAAGTCAGCAGCCAGCCATGAGGAGGTTCCAAAATGTCCTTAGGGCCTTCTCAGGGTTTCATGGCCTTAGGAGGTATTTCTAGGAATTGGGGACATCACTAGAAGTAACGGTGGACTGGGGATAGTCTGGAAGCAGGGGTTACAAAAGGGCAGGTAAATAAGCCAAGAAGAAGGGAAGGAGAGAGTAAAGGAATTAAGGAGACAGCTTACATTTAAACTGAGGGCCTACTACCCGTCAGGAAATGTGCCAAGCACATTTTAACATTCATTCTATTATAACGACCCTGAGAGCTCTTGTTTCCAGTTATAAAGATGAAGACTATGGGACTCAGAGACGTTAATAGCTTGCCCAAGTTCACACAATACATAGGAAGTTGTACATCTGAATCCAAGTGTACCTGACTGCAAATCTTGTGCTTTTCTGACTCAACAAAGAGGCAGTATAAGAAGCACTGGCCTGGGTCTTCAGAAATGTTGAGTTCTGACCCCAGCCCTGCCATTCTTTTATTGCATGACCTTGGGAAAGCTAGGCCTCAGACTCATCTTCTCTAAAATGAGGGATTTGATCAAGATACTCTCTAACGTGTGCCGTAGGAATTACAGAATCAGCCTGAAAAAGACAAGACAAAGAAGTGGGAAGGCAGCCCTGAGGTCTTCAGTAAAGTGTGTAGCTTAAGAGACTAGAGTCCCAGAGTTTGGAGGAGAGACCAGTGAGGGAGCACTGGGTCAGAGAGAGGGGGGACTGTATTCAGGTTAGAGAGGGGACACAGAGAAGCCCATCATGCGTAATGGAACTTATTCTACTGTCATACCAAGCTAGGCAGGGGTCACACGTGCAGGCCACAGAGGCAGAAATATTAAGAAGGAAACTCAAGGGACCAGATCAGGGTGCCAGGGAGAAGAGTTGATGAGGAGGGGAGAGAGAAATCAAATATCGCCCTCTGGAGGAGAGAGGGATCAGTCCAGCCTTTCTGAGGGGTATGTGTGTGGCTTCCTGCAATCTTGCTTCTTTCTCCTCCCTCCTCTCCCATAGGGTAGACTGGGAAGCCTAGGTGGGGCAGGCCCTTACCTTCCCTCTTCATGCCCGTGGCCAGGCACTTCTGATAGCGGCAGTACTGACAGCGGTTCCGCTGGCGCTTGTCCACCGTGCAGTCCTTGTTGTCCCGGCATGAGTAGGTCAGGTCCTTACGAATGGTGCGCTTGAAGAAGCCTTTGCAGCCCTCACAACTATAAACCCCATAGTGTTTGCCTACAGGGGGAGGGGAAGAGCAAGAACAAGGCTGCATGTAAACCCCTCACCATTACATCTCTTGCCAACCTCCCTCCAGCACACTTAGTTTAAGTCTACTTTGTGTTTGCCAAATACAGAGCTGGGGAACCAGGACATGAGAGATGGCCTAGTCCCACTCTTCCCTCTGATCACCCCCCCATCCCACATCTGAGCTCCAGGTTGTTTAGCTCTCATTGGGCCACCCCAGCTCACTTGCTCCAACAAAACCCAACCCAATGAACCCCTGGGAATTCCACAGGGGATGGTATATGGCACTCTCTCTTCCTCTCTGCTGGCCCTCTGAACCCCATACCTGAGCTTCGGTCCCCGCAGATTGCACAAAGCCGTTTGCCAGCCCCAGGGCCACCTGGAGGGGGTGGACAGTGCAGGCCCCGGACCCCTAAGACTGGTGGCTTCACATCTTCAGGGGGGCCAGACCCACCCCCAGGGAGCGACACTGTTGAGTTAATCTGAGATAGGGGAAATAGGGAGGTCATGGGGAGACTCATTGGGAAAGAGAATCTCTCAGAGGTGATGGAAATCATGCCCTAACACCTAGGCGGGACCCTGCATTGCACATCCCAGGGGGCATCATTACACTGCAGTCTGTGTGAAGGGCCAGCCCTGGAGGACAACCCAGATATGTGACATACAGTTTCCCCTGAAATTATGCAACACAGTAGCCCTGAAAGGTATGTACCTCAGAAGGGCAGATGGGACCAAAAGGGCAGAGAATCACTGACAGAGGAAAGGGACATCAGGAATATCAGAGTTCTTTTACAGGGTTGGGGAGGAAGCATGCACTGAAAGATCAGTCACCTCAGGAAGGGCAAGGGGGTCTCACAAGGACCACAGGCCTGCTAGGATTAGAGGTCTGGAAGGTCAGTGGGCCATGGGGAAGTTCACACAAGGATCTGGGGTCACAAGGAAAACAAGGAAATGAAAGTGGAGAGGCAGTAAGTGGGTCACAACCTCTCACCTGGGGACTGCTGACAGGCCCGGAGAATCCTGGGGGAGCTGGAGGGGGCAGACCAGGGGACCCCATGGAAGAGCTGATGACTGGGAAAGGGGAGCCCAGTGGGGGGGGTGGCATCGGGGGTGGGGGTGGTGCCCCAGAGCCTCCAAGAGATGGGGCTGCTGAAGAGGGTAAGGGTGGTCCAGGAGGAGAATGGGGAGAGGGCCCCTGGGAAATAGGATTTGGGGAGGAACTGTCTGGGCTTCGGGAATCTGAGGGAGGGGTACACAGAGGCACAGACACACAGACAGGAGAGACAAAAAGAGAAAATGAGTCTTCGATCATCCAACTGAAGACTTTTTCTAATCCCCCACTGCACCCTACCATACACCCCCCATCCCCAAGTTCCTGAAACACCCTGTTGTCACACAACAGTTTAACTCCTAAATGTGGTGACAGGAGGTGGGGTGACAAAGGAGAGGAGGATAGTTCCGGCGAGGAAAAATTCCAAGCATTGTATGTGGTCACCCCAAGCCAGTCTCGTGTGGGTGGGGCAACACGTGGGGCGGACCCTCCTTCCCAGCTTGTAGCCAGAGAGTGCAGGGAAAAGAAACAGACGGAAGAAACCTCCTCCTAGGACGGAAGATCTGTCTTCAAACGTCCAGAGTCCTCAAACTCGAGGACTCATATCCCACGCCCAGGGGCTCCGGTGTGCAGAGACTCAAGCGGCCATGACTAGGAGGGCGGAAGCTTCCCCTTCCCTCCCCGCCCCGCCCCGGGGGGAGGGCGCTAAGGCCCTTGGGAGGGAGGGGACGCGTGTTTACAAACAAGGGGGCGGGAGCGCCAGGGAAAGAGCGCCAAGGGAGGGGGGAGGGGTTGCAGATAACGCGGTCACTGGCTCTCGGGTCCGTCCGCTAGGACACTCACCCCGCCCGCTGTCGCCCATCCCGTCCCGTCCAGCCTCCCCCGGCTCCGGCTCCGGGGTTTGTTGTTCTCCGGCTGCCGCCGCTGCCGCCGTCGCTGCGGGATCCAGCCAGGGCCGTCGCCGCCGCCACCGGGACGCGACCCCACAATGCATTTCTTTTCGCACCCCCACCGGCCCACACTGCCCTGCGGCATGCCGCTGGGGGAGGAAGGGCGGGCGAGCAGCCCAAGACATGATTCCTGGGTGATTGTAGGGACACCGAAGAGGTACCAGAGATTCCCGAGGACTTATTGAGGGGCTAGCTGAGCACGAGGAAGCCCCAGAGAAAGACTGTGGCCTAAACCGGGTCGAATTAAGCGCTTCGCTCTGCTCTGTACCAAAATGACAGCGCCGATGTGGCAGCCATCTTGGTATAGACAGGAAGTCTCCGCGCTAGTTCCCGCCCCCTCGTCT